CCTTTCCATGCCTACTTGTTCGATTATGAGCGCTACTTGGGTCGCCCTGGGAGTTATTTGCTTGGGCCTGCAGACTGTGTTGGCCGTGGGGTTCTTCTGGACGGCGTTTAACGGATCTGACGACTTCTCATACGGAAGACGGTGTGACACCCTCATATTGACAGATTCATCTAGCGTGCTTCGTACATCTTGTTTGGATTGTCACGTTCTATAATTCTTGTCGAAATCTTCATTCCCCTTTCAGAAAAAAAAACCCTTGACCGACCTTCAGAAGAGTTCTCTTTTGCGCATTGGCTGTCCGACTCTTCGACAATGTGGCTTTCAAAGCTGTGGCTCATGCACCGCCAGCGACCGACTCGTGTAGAGTCTTCTTCCCGCGGGCCCCTGTTACCAGACAGATGCCTTTTGAGAGTCTTCCTTCAGCCTACCGCTGTTTTGAGCTAGTCCTGTTTTCAGATCGCCATTCGCTGAAACCCCCAGGAGAGCGTCCTCGACAACAGTGTGGGAATAGTCATGCAACAATATGGGCCATTTCAGACTCGCGAAGCCTAGCATTATATGTGAATGGAGGATGTCACAGTGGCAATGTGTCCGACATTAAGGCCTCCGATTTCTAATCATTAAATTCCCTCCTCTTCTTCACCATGCCTCTTGATATTGATATTTGCCTCCTTTGTTTCCTTTCAAACCAGTATTCCCTTTTCTGTTTCTGTCCTTCTGCATTTAGTTCATGAAGACTGTACATATTGTCCCCCATGAGGCCCAGTTGAGAAAGGGGCCCCTCATATGCGTCATTGAGTCTACAAATAATACACCTGAGCATGAACTGTATATAGAACATGAGCAAATCCATCTTTGTGACGTTTCCCAGAATCGAATTATCTGTAAGCTTGTACGTACCGTCGTGATCATGCATTTACAGAAAGACCAGTTCCCACCTCCCGAGCGATTCCATAGATGTGTCAAGACTAGGAAGAAGAGCGCATATTGATTGGCATTATTCGAGTACAGGTTAGATACCCCGGATCCTCCTCAAGATGTTATCCCAGGTTTCAGTAAAGTGGTAGGAGGCCGATACTTCATACTATGGCCCTATGGCCCTGACATTTAGGTACTCCATAATCTAGGCCTGTTCGGGTTTAGCCGCGATACGGAGTACTATTATCGTTATCAGTTGCTCCAACGATAATGATCAACGACTGAATGATGATGTCTCATCGTGATGGTGAACACCACATGATGAGGTAACTGCTGCCTTAGTATCTTATGGCTGCCTAGGGCATACTGAACCTAGGTACCTAGTCATCTTCCACCTGACTTCGATGATTCGGTGCTTGTAATTGACACGGACTTTGTACCTAGTCATCCGCTGTCATGTGCCCCGCCCGTGGCTGTTCTTGCTATCTACATTGACAGTGATCAATAGTAATCATCCATTTCCCCTCATCTACGATCGCCGCTCTCAAGGAAATTAGTCAAAAGGGCCCATCATACACTGATCTGCTCTTTCTTTGATGCAGGACAAGGGTCTTCATCTTGGATTTTCTCCTTCATACAACTGACTTCTGTGCCTCAGTGCACCTGACTTCTCTTCCGCCTAGGCCGGGAAGCATCCTCTCCGCTGCTATAGTAATCATCGGGCATCCGCCTATTAGGCAGAGTTGATCTTGGGGAGTCCACTGACAAACTGTCCTTTATCATTTTCAGATAGGACTGGGCAGAGCTTCCCCTGCGAAGTTAACGTATCCCCCCTTTCAAGTCTGTCCACTAGACTCAGTCTTCGTTCTCTGTACTCGAACGAGACTACGCTCTCCACCTCTTGCTATCACCGTCTCTGCTCGATGACAACCACACTCAGATAACATGGCTGACTCTCCAGAGCCTTACTCCAGACGTCCCTCCTCTGTCTCAAGCACGCCCCACCTCCAATATCCAACGTTTCCACCGCTAAGTGGTTCTGTTGAAGAGTGGTTATCACGATCGAGACCTACAAGTATGACGTCAACTCCAGCTGCAGAACACACCAGCAAGTCGTTGAGTGAAAGTTGGGCAAACTTGAGTGCTTCAGACGCCCATTCTGAGGATGGTACTCGTTCTGAGCAGACTGATGCGGGGTCTCTGATTGATCAGACCGGCCCGGACGACGTTGCGAGTCTCGATGACCAGTACAGCTGCAGCGAGGCTGATGGGGTTGGCGAAGATGACACTGATGAGGAGGAATATAATCAACGGATCCATAACTCTGAGTCTCAGGAGCTTCCCTCCCTATTTACTCAAACAGGTGATGCCATCGATGGTAGTAACCTTACCGCAAAGACGGCATTCTATCAATCAAGCGAGTCAATTGAATTCGTCGAGCCTGAGCAGTGGCCAGAAGCCGAACGAGTAGAGCTGAAACACACCATCCAGGTCATTGACAGCGTTGAAACCACAGAACTCTTAGAGCATCTTGGTTGCGATCAGCAAGACTCTCTCCTCACAGTCACCGTCCAACAGACAATGACGAAAAGAAGCCTTGACACCGAGAAACCGTTTCGTGTGCTGTATATTGGGCACTCCGATTATCGCACTATCATACTAGACAAGATTGGTGATGTTCTAGTTTCAAGCTCATGCAGCAGCTATGAGAGTAGCTCCACAGAGTCTTCCAGGTACCATGTCGTTCCCACTGCATTTGGTGCAGGGGCCGTACCGAATTTTGCAGAACTTCTTCCGATCCATGTGCAGCTTATTGTCGACGAGTGCGTGCAGGCTTCTTCCGACGCTCAGACCGACGATTCTGGCTCGATCCACCTGATATTCAAGAATCGGCCCGCATGCACATCTTCTTGGAGCGGATTAGACTACACAGTCTCATCCTCTTCGGACTGGACACTGCCGGACGTAGCCATCCTTTTCATTTCATCAATGGACACTCCTGATGCTGTGGAAACGCAAAACCTAGCTCGTGTCTGCATGGAAAGACATGGTGTTCCGACTTTGGTGATCTCGGAGAAGCCGCTGTGGAAGATGGCGAGCGAGTCAATTCCTCTGAACTACCATAGTCTTCATATGTGTCTGGAGTCCCGCCATCCTATTACTGGGAAGAGTACAGTGCTGAGGAGGTACCCCATTGATCTGAAGACCTTTGAGAGCATTACTCCTGGGCAACTCAACCGGAACCTGGCTTCTCTAGCAGAGGTCTATCCTCGGATGCCATCCAAACCCCGAGCGCAACTATCAGATTCCCCAGAAGGACCGAAAAAGCGATTCTTTAGCACGGAGAACTTCAACAGGGCGGTTTCTGGCTTTTACTACCAAAATGACGACCGCGACTGGACGCCCCTCCTACGTTTGAGTATCATGACAGTCGTATCCATCATAGCTATCACGTTGTGCTATTCGGCTCTACAGGTCACTACAGTGTCCCTCCTACGTTTGTTCTCTCATCCTACCGTTCCAAACACTGTATCTCCTGCTGTAACGACAAGCCCCTCCAGCCTTCTTTCCATGGGAGGACTTGGACCGAGTTCCCTTTCAGCGCCGTCTTCATCCACTGAGGAAGTACAGCTGCTCACAAGTCAATATTCCGGTCGATCTCACTTCGGGAAAATGATCAGTGGAGTCGCACCTGGCCCTGCACAGGAGGCGAAATCGAACCAATTCCAGGTACAGGTAGTCGGTGATTGTCACCTTGTCCTAAAGCCTCCGCGTACGTTCTTCAGTACGAAGAAGCAATCGAAATTCGATGTTCAAATCAGCAGGAGCAATGTTTCTCTTGCTTACGAATTCTCCAAGCTATTCGAAGGAGTTTACACGCTAAGATTGGACAGGGGAGACGCTTATGGGATCCTCGACATCACCATCACCGCAGACACAAAGCCATTTCTCAACCAGACCATGTCAGTTGATCTGGGGACACCTTGGCTCAAGATCGCGAGCTGGAAGCGAGCGGCGCAAGCTATTTCATCGCAACTTGCGCGAGACCTGAGTTCAGCGCACACCGGCCTGTCAGGGGCATATAATCGGTTGTGCACCGATTTGCAGTTGATGATGGGAGATGTAGTGAGGAAAGCGCATTTCTTGCGACATGAAGCTGATATATTTCGGCAAGACTCGGCGCAATTGTCTCTGGAGACGAGAGAGGCACTTATGTCTACGTCAAAGCAACTTTCTGAGGTCGTGAAGCGCACTGCTGTGCAACCATTTCTAGCAGCCTCATCTGTGATACAAAGTCACACAAACAGATTCAACAGAGAAGCGAGAGGGTTCATGAGCGACACATGGAACAAAGTCAGCACCTCTGCGCAAAGTCTCGATCTTGGGGCCCTCAAGCGTCAAATGCGAAACGCCAGGAAATGCGACGCTTTGGATAGGGCCCAGAGAAGGGTAAAGAGTCTGATGAGGCGAAAGGCTTCCCCGCACCTGGAAGGGTCCTCATAGATGTCGCAATCGGCGAAATTTGGCGTCCATGGTTTTATTTTTTTTTATTTTTTTGTCCAATTATCCTGTTATCTTGTTTTGGGAAATCTTTCAGGCGATAGGGACGGACGGATAGTTACAGGCACGGGTTAACAGGGTTTATGAGAGAGATATGGCTTATCTGATGACGATTACTGGAACCATTGCTAACTTAACCTTTTCATGAATATGAATCCTGGCAAAACGATCATGATGGAAATTCTAGGACTGGTCATGGTTGAATATCCGATCGTCTGTACGGAGTACACTGTAGTTGGTATGAAATGCTTTAGAAGCCTTGGAGCCTTGGGCGGTGGCACTAGTGGAGTAATTGTAGCCTTAGGCTACACTACTGGGGGGCCGGGCATGATTATTATTTTGTGAGCGGACGAACTCCCCACCTTTTGCAGGCCCTGAATCAAAACATATTTTGCCTCTTCCTCTCACTGCTTTCCACCACACATAAATATCCTCTTATTCAAATAATAAGTAAATAGTCCTACGCTTTCAAATTGGCATCTGCAACTCACACAACTCCCAGAAACCCCGATCCTTTCACCATGTCTGACGTCGCTGAAACCAAGCCTGACCCCGCCACCAACGCTCCTGAGGCTCAGAAGCCTGAGGAGACGACCCCCGCCGCCAACACTGAAGAGTCCAAGCCTGCGGAAGGAAAGTCCGTGACCGAGGCCGCGGTTGACACTGTCAAGGATGCTGCCAGCAAGACATCTGACAGCGTTTTCTCCATGTTCGGTGGTGGTCCCAAGAAGGAGAAGAAGGAGGAGGCTGAAGATGCGAAGGATGAACCTTCCGGTTCTTCTAAGGCTCAGCAGGGTGAAGATGAGGTGAGTTGCTCTTTTTACACTGGTATTGGTCTTGTTATGATGCTTGTTGCTGGGTGTCTTAATGCGGAGGCGGCCATTCCCATGGTCTTCTCTTTCATTTTTTTTTTTTCTTGTCTTTTACCCCGCGTGATGGAGAGCATTTCTGGAATGCGGAATTCTCTGGAAGGAGATGAGCTGTGAAATGTGCACTCTAAGCTATGAAGCTGACAGCTTCTGATAAATCTAGGATGAGGCGCCCGAGTCTCCCGATGTCCACTTCGAACCCGTTATTCGCCTGACGGAGAAGGTCGAGACCAAGACCAACGAAGAGCTTGAGGAGCAGGTCTTCAAGATGCGTGCCAAGCTGTTCCGATTCGACGCCGAGAGCAAGGAATGGAAGGAGCGTGGTACCGGTGATGTTAGACTGCTCAAGCACAAGGAGAACCAGAAGACCCGGCTAGTGATGCGCCGAGACAAGACCCTCAAGGTCTGCGCTAACCACTACGGTTAGTCTCGATTTACTGCCCAGTTGAGTTGATTGTATTGGGGCTAATTGTTTCGCAGTTGTCCCCGACATGAAGCTTAAGCCCAACGTCGGCAGTGACCGCAGCTGGGTTTGGAGTGTAGCTGCGGACGTCAGTGAGGGTGAACCTGAGGCTCAGACCCTGGCCATTCGTTTCGCCAACAGCGAGAGTAAGTCCGGGATGATGATAAGCTGGGGGTCTATTCAATGTTTGCTAACCTGACACCACAGATGCCAATCTCTTCAAGGAGGCTTTCGAGAAGGCTCAGCAGGAGAACGAGAAGATCATCGGCCAGCAGTAAGAAGCCTGCAGCTCCACGCTCCTGGAGATTGTGGTATTTCTTGTAATCATTGAATGACAATCATATTTCGACGAGTTTTGACTTATGGCCTCTCCATGAACTCATCATCACCCCATCAATTCCATTATTCCCCGCACAGCTTCCTCTCTGGCACTTATAAACATCTCCGAGCCCACGAGACTAAGGTGAATCGAGTATGACGACTTCTGCTTGAAAAAAAAAAAATCTATCACTTATACAAAAATGCTAAC